AAAGAAGAAAAATTGGACGCGTGGGCTGAAAGAACTTGCGAAAAAAAAAGCAAAACCACCCTAACAATTTGCATTGCCCCTTTCCAGGGAAAAAGAAGTTGTGGGAGGAGCACTGCTAAGTTGAAAGTTCGCAATCCAGATTGGTCACGAGACCAGTCGCCATGGGTCCAGTCTCACCGAAGGAGCAATAGAAATGAAGGAGATGGTCTCGTCCTTACGCTCCGAGTGCTGAGCCAACTGACGGTTTCTCGATTATTTAGAAAGGCAAAGACAACATCTGCGAGAGTTAAACAGTCCATTTTCTTGATATTCAACTTTCAATACGGAACTTCCAGGTCTGAACAACTTGCCTGCCCATGCTCAGAGGAATGGTACCGAGCAGGTAACGTCCATGCCGATTCAGTGGTAACTGATGACGGCATCGCACGTCATAACCTCCGATACGTCTCGGACTTGACGATGGTGTCGCCTCTTGCAATTAGCAGTTTCTTCTCGTCAACATATCGACCGTGCGTGAAAATGTTACCCTCTGGCCTAGGTTCTAGAGTGTTCGGAAACATCTTGATGTTATAAGCTGGAATTTGACTTATTAGCCGCAAACCATATCTCCGTTCCTCATGGTAGCGTTCCAATCAGCGTCGTTCCGAGTTGTGTTACAGTAGTACACGGACTTATCGGGGGCCGGCTATAAGGATCCCAAAGACCAACAGCCCTTCCCATTGCTGCCATTCCATTTCGCCCCCGATGAAGTTGGTCCTGGAAACCGCATCGGCATCTCGAAGCCGGCTGGAAACTGAACCAACTGGGTTGCATCGGGATTACCAGGCCAATGAACCGGAGATTGATCGATGCAAAGTTCTTGCCGTTACATGTTGTCCATTGTAGTGTCTCGGCACCGTGGAGTCCTCGAGTCCGGGTGGTTGGGTGTCGAGGACGGTTTGACTCCCATATAACAGCTCTTCTCCCGTGTCCCTTTGTCGAAGATGAGAACTACCAGAATTTTCATCCTTGGCCATCCTCGTCAACTTGCAAGATGAAGTTCTCAACCCTATCGCTCCTGGGTCTCCAGGCCGCTAGCCCATGCATAGCACTCCCAAGTCCAGCTTCTCGAGACCCAGTCATTGCAAAAGCAACAGCCAAGATAGACATTCTTGCCTGTTCAGCTCGCAAAGACCCTGAAAGCAGCCAAGGGTAGTCAGTGCACACCAGGCAAGATCAAGATTAGAAGAGAATGGTAAGTCTGGGAACCCCTTTACATTCACAATTTTCTGTCACTGACATCATTCAGGGGAGCATTCACCAAAAAGGAAAGACTAGACTACATCAAATCAGTCCAATGTTTGCAATCCAAAGCGTCTCGATACCCCTCATTCCTACCGCAGGAGCCAAGTCCCGCTTCGATGACTTCGTCGTCACCCACATCAACCAGACCCAAACCGCCCACTACACCGGCAATTTCCTCGGCTGCATCGCTACTTCACCGCGCTGTACGAGCAGGCCCTCCGCGAAGAATGCGGATACCGCGGCACCCAACCCTACTGGGACTGGGCCAAGACCGCCCAAACCGGTCTCTCCGCCTCTCCCATCTTCGACGGCAGCGCGACCTCCATGTCCGGCAACGGCGTCCACATCCCCAACCAAGCCGACATAGTCCTGGGCGGCGGCGAGGGCAGCGGTCTCCCGCCAGTCTACCTCCCAGCCGGCACCGGCGGCGGCTGTGTCACCTCCGGTCCCTTCATCAACATGACCGTCAACCTCGGCCCCATCCAACTCGACGTACCCGGCGGCGGACCGCAAGACATCAACCCTGCCGGCCCGTTCGCTTACAACCCACGCTGTCTCCGTCGCGATTTGACTGATGCCATCAACCAGCGCTATTCCAACGCTTCCTCTATCAAACACCTCGTCGCCCAAGAAACCATCGACAGCTTCCAGATGATCATGCAAGGCATCCCGGGCACAGGCGACATCGGCGTGCACGGCGGAGGTCATTACTCGCTAGGAGGAGATCCCGGGCGCGACGTGAGCGTGTCACCTGGCGATCCAGCGTTTTATTTGCATCATGCCATGATTGATCGGGTGTGGTGGATGTGGCAGATGGTGGATGCGGAGAAGAGGGTGTATGGCCAGAAGACGGGAGAGGCGGTGGGGGGGACGAGGACGTTCCTCAATATTCCTGAGAGCGAGTCGACGATGTTGGATAATGTGGTGGATTTTGGGTGTGCGGCGGGCCCGAAAAGGAAGTTGAGGGAGTTGATGAGTGTGGTTGAGGGGCCGTTTTGTTATGTTTATGTGTGAGGAATTGAAGACGGGACAAGTGGTAATGGCCGGACTTGGATTACCGTACGATACAATTTACCTTTCGTATGTTTCGTTACCGCGACACCTTGGCATTGAACTGTAATACCGTATTGTAAGAAACGCCCCAGGCGGTTCCTTTCTGCCCTTGTATTGAACCGACGGGAGTGTCAAAGATGGCTGATTGCAGGCAGTGCAGCTGGTGAAGCCTGCTGACAGGTGGTCTTACGGAACTTGAAGACGGCAGACTCACCTGTCTGGTACTGATGGGCGCCTGGCAGGGAAATACACCCCTCACCAAACTTCCTCCAGTCACCCTTCCTCTTGGGCATCTTTCCCCAACTGCACCACGTCTCACGAAACCCGCAGTCTTGCGAACATTGTCTTTTGCCTTCCGCTTTCTTTTTACTATCATTATTAATACTCGCACATTATGCGTCTGCTTTCCGCCCAACACTTCACGTTCCACGAATTCCCCGAGGATGCATCTGTGCCATACGCCATTCTATCCCACACGTGGGATGGCCACGAGGTCACCCTTCAGGACATGCAGCAGCCAAATGCGAGGCAAATCCTGCAGAGCAAAAACCTCGCAATCAAGTCATGGAAGAAAATCCAAGATGCCTGCTCAATGGCTCGCAGAAAAGGCTTTTTGTACATCTGGATCGACAGCTGCTGCATCGACAAGACCAACAGTGCCGAGCTCCAAGAAGCCATCAACTCCATGTTCCGATGGTACCGCAATTCAGACCTGTGCTTAGCCCTCCTGTCCGATGTGGACAAGTCCGAATTCGAGCTCATTGAAGATCTGCAGAGCTATGCCACACTCATCTGCCGCTGGTTCACCCGAGGTTGGACCCTACAGGAGCTCCTGGCACCCGACGACCTGTTCTTCTTCGATGTCAACTGGAACGAGCTGGGATCGCGCTCTCAGTGGGCGAGCCACATCTCCAAAGCTACTGGCATCCATGTCAAGTTTCTTCACGGCATTGAGCTCAAGCTGGATCCTTACAAATCATGGGACGTTGAAGCCGCCCTTCGAGACACCAGTGTCGCTACCAAAATGTCTTGGGCTGCTGGCAGAGAGACAACCAGGATGGAGGATCAAGCGTACTGCTTGCTCGGCTTGTTCGACATCCACATGCCAATGCTTTATGGCGAGGGCACAAAGGCATTTGCTCGGCTACAACAAGAGATCATGAAGTCTACCGATGACTGCACCCTGCTAGCTTGGGGCTACAACTATCCGCTTCTTGGAGCCCCGGTCTCTCAGATTCCCTTCTTTTGTGATTGCTGTACTTGCGATACCTACCATGGGGAGCGTTCTCGTTCACCCTCGCCCACATCCGACTTTCCCATTCGATCCAGACCGATGCCTCTTCCAGTCACTCACCTCTCAAGTTGTGCTTACGCTGACGTGGGCCATCGTCCCCTAGGTGGAGCGCTGGCTAGACGACAGCTTTATAGAGATGTCAACGGCCATACTGCTGGTGGTCGGCCAAGGTCGCTCTTTGCAACCTCTCCCCACGACTTCAGGTTTGCCGGAAACCTCGAGTCTTGCGGTATACGGGGACACAAGAGACCAACGTTTGCAATGAGTCAGCGTGGACTAGAGATTACTTTGCCAATTGTCAAGGATGAGTCGCACCAGCACATCGTATATGGTCTGCTAGCCTGCACCCCAAAGTCGAAAACTAAACAAACCAGCCTGGTGGCAATCCCATTGATCCGCGCATCCGTCATAGACGCGGCGTCAGAAGACTACGACGACGAGTACGTACAAAGCCCGTTCTGTCTCCCTTGCAAAGTTCCTCTTTCTTTCGCCGAGAGAGCAGAGAGGATGAGTATCTGCATCCGACACGAAGATCGCTATCGTCGATTATGGGATTCGGCCGGCTACTCGGAGAGGTCCTTGATATTCGATTTTGGACATCCACTGGCCACTAAGAAGGACGACAGCGCTCTGCGCGTGGAGCTGATGTATCCATCCCAACCCCTGTGCAGCATGTACTTCAATCTTTTTCGCCATAGCTGTCCGGTGAACTTGATACCTTGTGCGCCAGTGGATACCCTGAAGCCATCTTGGTGGATGTATCACGTTCCTCGGCCCCCTCCCCGGCTTCGCCTGAGGCCAACCAGTCGCCATCCTTGGGACGAAAATGTTCACAAGAAGGTTGTGTATGCTCCAGACACCACCGTTGCAGTCGTCGTCCTGAACTTCGATCCATTTCCTCGGGAACCTGACGTTTCACGCCAAACAAGAATCCTTCTGGTGGTGTCTTCCGATCTTTCTTGCCGAGTGAGAAAGCTTGAGCCGGACAAGGAGGTCACCTTGCGAAACCTAATGACAATAGCCCAGAGACCAGACCTAGCAGGTCCTAAGCTGCAGTTCAACTGGCCGGAAAAGAAAGAGTACGAGTGGTGGAAAGAGGCACGTGTTGACTGCCAACTGCCCAATGGCATAGAGCTGTGCTTGCGGACGTGGTATTGAAGCTGGGCACGTATAAATCTATTCGTCGCAGGGAACCTGAAGCTTGGATGAGAACGATGCTAGCTATCAGGGTATACTGAGGTAAGCATGGGATCGAGCAAACTGTTAAAAGACGGCGAAACAAGAAGCAATGATTTCGAAAGAGCGGGCATCGAACTTAGTTCCCTGTTGCGATCTAACGGTGTTGCAACCCATGCGACCAAGCCAGACCAGAAAAACAAACACCCGAAGCATGGAATGAGATGAAAGACTGCGTGTGGTATGACATCTTCGAGCACATCTCCATCCCAACGCTGACCACCAACCAAAGCTGGGGTGAGGGAAACAAGGATGGCTTCATTTTCATCTCGTTCAATAGCCTCTCCCCGTTTGCTCGCCTCCACCTTCGCCTCGCGATCTCTGCTTCTCCATCTCTCCGCTTCTCTTACTGCTTCTATAAAATTTCCCACAACCCAACTTCCACCTCCAACTTCTGCTTCTCTCGATCCTCTACCCCATCACTGGAAAAGCTTACGGCTGGTCTCATCACCACATCAGCAACGCCATCCAATCCACAAACTCCATCAATTTCACATCAATATCAGCACCCGCATCACTGAAAACATCAGCATCAGTATCACCTCCAGCATTATTCCCACCTCAAAGCCCACCGCGCTCACCTCGCCGAGCCCCATCCGCTCAGTATTTACTCAACCCACATCAGTGGAGGGTCTCCAAGGTCCGTCTTTCGCACCGGCTGTTGCCTGTCAGGTGAGTCTGATCTGAGTCTCATCATTCAAAACTGTTTTCTTGGGACATATCTGACGTAGATTTGCCGACACAGGTCCCTTGGAAGGAAACAGCGCCAGTCTTACACCTGAAAACATGAGCCCCGATAGAGCCTCCAGCCTGCCTCCACGACTCTGTTCCGACAGTTTCTGGGCTTTTAGGCTTGACAATGCCCGCGCGCTTACGCCTGGACCCAACGAGTCCGTCATCTTCATTGCGTCAAGTGCGAACTCTACTTCAGACACGGACTTTTGCTCCTCATTGGACACCGATTGCGATGACGAAGAAGATATTGCCGAGAAAGCTGGAAGAACCCGCGATCCAGTGGAAGAGGCCGTCCCTACTTATATGCAGCACATATTTCCCATGGCCGAACGAGACTTGAAGGCCAGAACCGAACGTCGGCAGAAGATCAACCAGGGCATTTGTGCTAGGATGGCGGACATCGAGGAGTGCAAGAAGTATACCGCTACCTTGAAGAAACTGGAGGAGGGGCTCGACGCAGCTAGAGCGGAGGGTCGACGCTTGCAAGATTTGTTTGAGAAGTCTGTGAAATCGGCGTCTCTCGCTCGCCCGGGTTGGTTTCTTTTGGGGAACAAGTAGAGCGATGACGACTCAGTGGCGGGACCTTAGCGATGAGGCAGCGCGGAGGAAGGCGCTGATAGGTACTACCTTCAGTGTGGGACAGAGCCGGACGGCCACGCTTTCAACGGACTCGCCTCCGGATCAATGCTTGATTCACGACAAGATCACTGCAGGTGTTAGGCTGAACAGAAACAGGTTGCTAGATTGCATGGCAAACAAACCCGGATATCCAAACTCATTAGACGAACATAACCGTCAAATATCATAACCAAAACTAGGTATATCAAAGAAAATGGTTCAAACTCTCCATCACCCCTTGTGCCTTCCTTCGTTCATTCCCCCATGCTCCATCATTCGTTCAATGTCTCATCAACTTCTCCCCGAAGCGTACATCTACTCATCCCAAGTAACCTTCATCGTCACAGGGAAGGGCGTCACAGCACCCCAGTCCTCCCTGAGGTAAAAGGTCTGGCTAAGCTTCTCGTTCAATTCCCTCGTGATCTTCTTCAACTGACCCTGAGGACCAGGAGCTCTCCGGACATTGCTGCGCTTGAACAAGCTGCGGAACATTGCCGTCAAAGCGATCTGGCTCACCTCATGGCCAAGGTAGGAGTGCGTGCCGAAGAAGAAGATCTTGTAGGCGTCAAGCGGGCGGGAAGGGTTGACGTCCTCGGGGTTGGGGAAGGTGGCGGGTGATTGAGCGGCGGATTTCTGTTGGTCGGTTAGTACTTCGCGCCTGATGAACGAGAACGGGAAGGGAAGGGATGGAAGGAACGGGAGAAAAACTTACCACGCTAACAAAAACCCTATCACCAGGCTGCACCCTAACCTCGCCACCATCCTCCTCCTTGATGGCATCCACGCTGCTCGCCTGCCTGAACGCTCCCAAGTTATTGCCCGACAACCGAATACCCTCCAACACGTACCCGAGCAACTGCGCATCCGCCGCGCTAGAAGCAGGCTGTCTCGCCAGCTCCTGGATAGCAGCCAAGTGCTCCTTCCCTTGCTCGCCGAGATAAAAGTCCACAGCGCTCGCGAAGCCCTCAGCAATACTCGGCACGCTCGACGCCACGATCGGCAAGACCTGCCCGAAGGCTACGTCTGAGCTGCTTAGTCCAGCCTTGGATAGTCGCTTGACAAGATCGCTGCCGTAGGCAGTAAGCGGGTCATCGTTACCGCCACCGCCGAAGAAAGACCCAAAGAAGGAAGTCTGGCTCTTGACTCCCGCCTCCAAGGCTTCGCCGAGCTGAGTGGCTACCGTCCGAGCGGCGTCGCGCAGCTGGTACGTCTTGACGGGGTCGTGGTCGTAGAAGATGGCCGCGAAGATGACGGCTAGCACGGCGTACAGCTCATGGGGGGTGTAAAGCCCCTTGGCGTTGTCCTTGCCCTGGAGGGAGATATCGAAGACCTTGGCGGCGAACAGCGTGGGGACGATGTTACCTATGTCCCGAACCAGGTCGACGAGAAGGCGGCCGCCTACGTTGTAGCTCTCGCCTGCCAAAAGGGCGTCGGTGGTTTGGGAGAAGAAGGTCTTGACGTGGGTAGCCCATTCGGCGCTGTACAGCTGCTCGTGGATGTCGCGGCGCTGGGAGTCGTGAGCGTCGGGGTTGGTGCTGTTGGAGGTAGAAATGGGACGGTTGAGGATGGACTCCAACCCGGCGTGCCAGGCAGTCTTGTACGCGCCCTCCTTCTCGTTATCAAGCACATGCTTAGCGCCCGCGTAGGTAGTAACCTGGTGCGGCGTCGCCTGTCTACCGGGGCGTGTCCAGTCAAAGAGGTGATCGCGCTTCAAGTCCTTGAGGATCTTGGCGTTCTCGTCCGGCGTAACCATGGGGTAGTGCGCATACACGCTGTTCTCCTTGAAGTGGTTCGGCAGAGCCCGCAAGAAGAGCTTGTAGAAGACGCACCCGTGGTTGACGTTCAGGTCGTACTGCACCTCGTTGTAGCCCCAGTTGGTCAGGTTGCGCGGGTTGTAGTCGATGGTGTAGTGTCTGTCGCCGCGGACGAGGCAGACGGCGTCCGAAAGCACCACGCGCGAGATGGTGTAGGTGGGCGCGATGCCGACGCCGGGGACCATGGGCGATTTGTGCTCTTCGGCGACGATGCCAGGATACAGCTCGACGAAATCGGGGTGGTCGTATAACCTGCGCAAAGCTTCCGAGACGCCAGGGTCGGAGTTGATGTCCTCGAAGGTCTCGTAGGGCTTGAGGCCGAAATGCTTGCGGAACTCGTTCAGACCGGCGAGGTTCCACTTGCGGCCTTGGATGATGCCCAGGATCTCAATGGCGCGCATGGAACCCGGGACGTTCTTGGCGCCGAAGGAACCAGCGGGATCTTCGATGGCCTCGGTGATGCACTCGGCCAGTTCGTCGTCGGAGATCTTGCCTGTGGCCGCGTCGCGCGTGAAGTTGCCGTTGCGCTTGGGAATGGCCCGCTCGACTGGGTCCGCGGGGATGCTGCCCTCGAACTTGGAGAAACCCATGATCAGCTCGTGGAAGTTGACATCGGCGCCGGGCTTGCCGAACAGCTCGTGGTAGAACTCCTCCACCCAGGCCTCGTCCTTGGCGGAGATGCACGAGTGCCAGCGGTAGCAGAGGTTGAACTCGGCTGAGACCACGTTACCGGTGCCGCGCTCGGCGCCCTCCTTGGTTCCGACGTCGATGCCGGTGTCGGCGCGCGGGTCGAGAGTCCAGGTCGTGTCGACGCGGTTGAGGTTGACGATGTTGCGGACGTAGTCGAGCAGGGTGATGTTGATGTACAGACCGGACGTGATCAGCCTGGCGGTCTGGAACAGGTCATTGTCGTACTTCTTCCATGCCGCGGCAGCCTTCTCGCCCTCGAGTTTGGGGGAGGGCTTGTTGAACCGCCCGTCTTCGTTGATGGCGATCAGGTTGTCGCAGGTGTAGTTGTGGAAGCGGTTGAAGAAGATGAGCAGCACGCTGACTCCCGGGGGCATGCCCAGCAGACGCTTGTCGGCATAGCAATCGACCTTGAGCTTACCGTCCTGGAAGGTGCGGATGGTGTCTTGCATCTCCTGGTTGCTGCCATACAGGGGAGAAAGGTCGAGGTAGGACGAGGTTTTGGACTTGCTCATGTCCCGGTAGTCGGTCCAGAACAGGTCGTGGATGATGATGCTGGCCCAGTACCAGAGGATGCTGGAGACGTTGTTGGGGTGCGACTTGTATTCAGTGCGCTTCATGACTGAGTCGAAGATGAGTTCCGGGTCGGGAAGAGCTCCTTGTCTGATGACGTTTGGTCGAACGGACCGCGCGTAGGTGTTGCCGGCAGCACCCAGCTGGGGGAACATGATGTTCTGGAATCCGGTGTCAGCAGTCTGTTAACTTTTTCTCGCAGATCATTGAGAGGACGTACATTGCAAGAGCCATCAGCCTTTCTGTACTGGTACTCCTCGCCAACGTATATCGAAGGAGGATGCTCGAGCGTGTACCACAGCTCACTCAGGAAGCTGTTGGTCAACTCCACTCGTAGCTTGGAGTTGCTGGGGAGGTTAGACACAAGCTGGATGACCTTCTCCATGATCATGGTCTTGTCGTCGGTGATCTTCTCGCCCTTGATCTTGGCCACGGCCATGTGCTTCAGGGTCTTGAAGTCTGCATTTCATCTCGTCAGCATCAGTGCTTCCCAACGGCATATCTTAGCTAAGTTACAACTTACCTGCCCATCGAAGGGTCATCAAGTCACTGCTGAGCTTGCCCCACTTCTTGTTCTCGCTGAAGGTGCCCGCGCCTTGCTGGGTAGGCAGGGGCTGGACAGCGGACTGGATAGTCTGCCTGTGTCTCTCGAACGCATTCTCTACTCCTTGCCTGCTGGCACCGGTGAAAGGAAGGTTCATAGAGATAGGCCTGGGCTTGGCCATGCTAGCTGTCCTCTCGGCATCGGGATCAGGGCCGATGACGGTTGAGCTCTTGGCCTTACCATTGGCGCCATTGCTGGCTGAGTGACCGTTGGTCCCGTTCTGGTAGCTGGACATTGTGGCTGATGGTTGGACTTGGGTATGAGGGGTATGGTTATAATGGAAGGAAACACAAAAAGAAGTATGCACCCGTCTTTCAGAGTGCACTGGAAATAGGAGAGGAAGAGATGGAGGAATGAAGCCGAGAAGAGATTGGGAACGAGGAGGGAAGAGGTTCGGATGATGATAACTGCAATGGAAAGCAGTGCAGTTGCAGTTCGCAGAGAGAAGAATTTGACGAACACCAGCTGCTTTCTGATGTCACACAGAGTTCACGGCATATTCCCTCTTTTGTATCCCGAAGCTTTTCCTGAGCAGTGTGAGCTCCCTCCATGTCCCCCCTGCCTGCTCCAATGATGTCTCGGCCCGATGGTTACTAGACGTCTGGAGATGCTCGACGGAGAATCTCTGAAGGGGGGTTGGCTGCCTGGCTTGTCAACAAGTGCCACTATCTGCACGCGCTGTGGGGGGGTTTGTCTCATTGTCTCATTGCGGACTCGAGATTCGTCCAGCACCGCAGCAGACTGGACCGTCAAGGTCCCTTCATCGGTCGTCCATGACACATGTCCATGTCAATGTTACACTTGTTGGAGTTTGGCGGAAAGAAAGAGGGACAAGAGCTGAACGAAGCCAAAAAGAGGAAAACCCACTTGGGCCGATATGGACTTGCTAACATGAACCCCACTGCGGCTGGAAGTGATCGGTCTGGTGTGCATGAGGGAGGGAACGACTCGCGACAACCCGCCAGAAACCGATTGGCTGAAGATCATTCCAAGGGATTAGCGGAAGAGACCCTTTCCAATTGGTATTCGAGACTCGAGTTGCTCGTGTCTTCGATTCGATTGCCTCTCTTCCATTGGGCTTCTTCTTACTCTTCATCCCACCACCGGCACCATGCGTGTGCACTCTGTCGGATGCCAACATGCGGCTGGTATGTACAGAATAAAAACCCATTGGATTTGATAGGAACACAAAGGAGGTCGTACCAGACAGACGAATGTTTTCATCCCGAGGGGAAAGTCAGCGTAACTTCGGGAGCCAGACAACCCTCTGCACGACGGGATTGAGGTTCAACCAAACGTCACATCTCAGGTCCCTCAAATGCTAGGACCGGGGTAGAACGGTGAGGGGCTCTCAAGCTCGATTGGTCTGCAGTTTTTCACACTTCGAGCACTTCGAGTCGTGATGAAGTCGGTCAGTGTCTCAGAGCAAACGAAAAGGAAGTCTTGGGATTGGGCAGCTCGGGCAATGGTGCATCTTTAGTTTTCAGCTGTGCTACGTCGTACAGCAGATCCATATGATGTCGATCAGTGGGGTTCAGGGTTTCTGGGGCCGAGCTACCGCAGCGAGCATCTGTGAGTGACAGGGGAGAGGAGGAAAGACATTCACGAGGTACGTAAACAAAGAGTCAGGGGGGTTGAATTCGGGGTTTTGTTTGGCGGCTCTGTTAAATCACTTTACAGAAAACTGACAGGAGCCCTTGTCCTGGGCTTTCAGAACCCTTTTCGCCTTTGGACCCTGGGAAATCGCTGGGGATCGCCATTGCAGTCTCTGATCTCGCGGCTACGACCTGACTACCGAGTGGCTACCAACTTAGTGGCAAGATGCTTAACCCCAGTTGGTTAATACCCTCATCCGGGGACTGGAGCACCAAGATTCAGCGCCCCCATAACGCTAACTCACCTGGTGATAGTGTGTGACATAAGGGGCAGCGGGCCGGCGATCTTGTCTTGTTAACCACCAACCCACGGACGGCAAGGACACAGCTTTTTTTCTGATCCAGCCGTCTCTGAAACATGCCCAATCATCAAAACCCCTTATGAAGCCAAGATACCCGCTCCAACCGCCCTTTCTTGAACCTCAATGGCCCTCTGTAGCCGGGCGGTATGCCGGACGGGACTCCGCTGTCCCAATTCGGATCCCTTGCATGTCTGGAACCAGCTGAAGATAGCCACGGCCGACGGGATTGGGGGAATTTTGTCCTGGGCGAGGTCGCCGTGGTGCCCAAAGTTTTCCACACTACCCTCCTTCACCTGCCGGCCTCCAAATCATTTGTCACTGCTCTGCGCGACGAAGTCGTCGTATACACAACAAACCAATCAGGGCCACTTTCCGGGGGGCCGAGAGCCGGAGGGCCCTCGGGGACTATGTTCGTCATTGTGTCTCGGACGATTCGCGGTCGAGCCTATGATTGGGGACAAGCAATGGGGATAGATGCAGTCGGCCTGCGAGAGAGAAATCTAACCCATGCTTCACCATCGACGCCCAATCCAGCCCATTATCTCCATTGCCAATGATCGTCCTCTGGGATGTCGGTCAGGATGTCATCGTGCTCCCACTCCACGAACAATGGCTGGTCCTGGGCAGGCGGGGGAAGATTGGCATTGCAAAGTTGATCCACCTCAAATAGTCCCGGGACATAGCACAAGATTCTCCGACTCTCATGGGTCCCCAGTATTCCCCCAGGAACACCTTCCAACATGAGACAAGATGGCGAAAGAGAAAAGGGTCACATACAATAATGCAATATGAACCGGAACTCACCGTGTTCGACCACCCTCTTCCCTTCCACTTGTAGGACGTACCCCTATACTTCTATTCAAGACAAGACTTGCTCTCAAGTCGGGTTGGATCTGGATTAGGTGGGTGGCTGTTGTGGGATGGTAGTAGACGCCAATAGTGCCCGGGTTCCGCATCGAATAAGGCGGAATTGTTCCCCGTTCCCATCAACGCATACATACACCTCACGCTGTGAAACCTATCCCCCCTCCCCTTCCCCTCTTTCCGAGTCCCGATAGACCTGAACACACTTTGTCGAGTTCGAAGAGACTTCACTTGTGCATGTGTGTGTATGTGCTCAAGCGTGCTCAGGCGTGCTTCTGTCACACAAAGAAGATCCTAGGACTCGGTGTCAGAGGTAGGAAATCACCATGGATAAGTCCCACCTCTTCCCTGGCGAATATGAGCCACATCATCATAATGGTCAAGCTCTTGGCCCCAACACAACAACGGACCGGGCGTCGCCGTTTGACAACCAACATCACGCAGAAGATTACTTTTCGACACATCTACCATCGAGACCTGTGACACCGATAGGAGGCATGGACGGCACCCAAGATCTCAGGACCGGCCGCCATCGCCGGCCGCGCAAGATTGTCTTGTGCTTTGACGGAACTGGCAACAAATTCCAGGGCGATGATTCCGACAGCAACATCCTCAAGATTTACAGGATGCTGGATAGGACGGCCGATGACCAGTGTGAGTTCTGTAACCTGTCGAGACCGAGAAAGGGGAAGTGATGGCTAACACTCACCTCCAGACCACTACTACCAACGTGAGTTTTCGTGATAACAACAACAGCATAGGTAACCACAACTAACACTCCATGTCCCTCAAAGCCGGAATCGGCACCTACGTCGTCTCCACCAGCCTCACCCGCACCAGCACCGTCGCCCGCCTGCGCTCCTGGTACCAAAAATCCAAAGACTCCGCCATCGGCACCTCCTTCGACCAGCACGTCGTAGGCGGCTACCGGTTCCTGATGCGCTTCTATCGCACCAACGACGAGATCTACATCTTCGGCTTTTCCCGTGGTGCCTACGTCGCGCGCTTCCTCGCCGAAATGCTCGACTACATCGGCCTTTTATCTCACGGCAACGAAGAAATGGTTCGGTTCGCATGGAAGGCCTTTTCTAACTGGCAGGCGCGTCGGTCCGATGACTCGCCCGAGGGCGTGGCGAAGAAGAAGAAGATGTACGAGTTTCTGAAGGGCTTCCGCGAGACGTTTTCCAGGCCCGTGCGGAGGATCAGGTTTTTTGGGTCTGTTTGATACGGTTAATAGCGTGCCGCAGTTTGAGAGCGCGTGGATGGAGCGGAGCAAGTTTCCGTATACGGCGAGGACGTCGGCCAAGGTGGTGCGGCATGCGGTCAGTATTGATGAGAGGAGAGCAAAGTTTCGGCAGGACTTGATCTACCAGAGCGCCCACAGGAAGTGCAAGGATCGCCATACGGCGAGGGAGAAACTGCATGAGTTCCAGGAGAACCTGAAGTATCGCGGGAGGAGTCATCCACATGCTGGAGCTGGTGCTGCTGAGGGTGGTGGTGCCAGTGGGAAGAAAGACGGCCGTGGCAGGAGACCGACGCTTGTGGTGCCTGAGCAGGAGCCCGCTCCGTATCGGACGCGCTCTCACTCGGTTCGGTCGAGGAGGACAAATCAGTCGGGGGTGTCTGGTAGGGGTGACGGTCCCATTCATGACGGCCACTCCGAGGTTTCTGTGGGGCCTCACCCCGAGACTGACGATGACGGTGAGGACTTTGAAGAATCGGATGATGAGCACGAGCAAGACATCGATGAAGTCTGGTTCGCGGGCGGTCATGCTGACATTGGTGGCGGATGGAGTGTTGAGGAAGGCCAAAAGCCTGCATCGCACATCCCCTTATGCTGGATGGTCCGCGAAGCCATGCGAGCCGGTCTGCATTTCGACCCCGACAAGATCCAAGCCATGGGATGTGTTGATCTGATGGACGAGATGGACATCGACCATGCTCCCGAAGCCAATGCTCAGAACGACAAGATGAAGTCGGAGCACCTGGGAGCATCACCGGCGGCCAACAGCAATAGAGTGGCCAAACAATCAGGAGCAGGTTGCACTTGCTCCCACGGCAACGGCAACGGCAATGCCATCGGCAACAGCAACCAACAAGTCGACCCCAATACAACCATCCCCAACATCACAGTCCGCAGTCCCAGTACTCCCAAAATCTTCCAGCAATCTTCCTGGAAAATCGACTCCTTCTCCTCCAAAGACAAGGACAACAAGTCCAACAAGGCCGACAAGTCATTAACTCCCAAAGACAAAGACAAAGACACCACCGCACAGCAAGAAAGTCCAACCGGCAGCCCCACCATGGACCATCAAGCAATCGAAGACGGCCTCAAGTCCCCCACAACCAGCAACAACACCTCCACCTCCACCTCCACCTCTTCATCAGACTCCTCCGAAGCTTCATGCCCCTTGCACACCCCCTGGTCCTTCCACGCCATGATCACCCACTGCCACACAGCGCGCATCCACGACTCTTTATCCTTCGACTGCGGCCTCGGTTTTGGGTCGGTCCTAGCCTGGAAAATGATGGAATACCTGCCCTTCCGACGTCTCGACCTTTCGGAGGATGGGTCATGGAAACCCATTCGCTGGCCTCTGCCGTGCGGCGAGGTGCGCGATATCCCTGAGAATGCACGCGTGCATGGTAGTGTGATTAAGCGCATGCAGATGGACGAGACGTACAGACCCGGCAATCTGATTATCGGTGGAGGAGGACGCGGGGTGAAGTTTGCGGGGAAGGAACATGGGATTGGGGAGTGGGTTTGTGTCAAGGAGGAGGGGGACCCAATTGGGGAGGTGTGGATGAAGAAGAGGGCGCTGGTGAAGGCGGGGAGGGGGGGTGTTAATGGTAATGGTAATGGGGATGGTGATGAGGAAAGGGAGATGGAAAGGGAGATGGAAAGGAAAGAAGGGAAAAGTAAGGTAGTCGTGGGTTTGGTAGTACGGCTGTGTTCTATTGTTCTTCGCTGTTCTGTTCGGGATACTAGTCTTTTTTGCTTGGATACCTCTACTCTAATTGATGCCAATTTGGTTTAATTTGGCCGTGTTTGCTGGGCATACCTAAGGTACACACAGATTCTTCATGCTGAGCACCTATATTGGAATTGAGAAGCCCGATATGACAGCACCTTATTCTAGCTCTCTGCTCGAAGTTCAGTCTCCTCGACGCGGCATCCCTCTTGAAAATATAGTATACGGTTGTCCAAACAGGCTGTACTGCAAATATCGGTGCACCGAATGATCTTTTCAACATTTGTCGATTGTAAAAGGAGTTCTGGCTGCCTTCCATCGTGTCTTTTTTTGTTGTTCCGAGTCTGGGGTGAAGGCCAGTTGCGTGTCAGTGCCCAAATAGGAAAGAAGAGGTTATTGCCAAGGGGTACGGTGGCCCCATTGTACCTACTTTTGGTCGGATAAAAAAAATCTCGTTACCGAGCGGTAAACCGCATTGGTATCAAAGGAAGCGAGTTGTGATGTCGCCCCGTGTTTTCATGACTGGATGCCTAACCCTCTTCTGACGCTCATGGCACGAATTCTGAATTTACGCAGCGCCGGGCATGGTAAATTTGAGCATCACATGGAAAAGGCAAGTTGTTAGTGTGTTCTCTTGCAGCATCGCGGGTTCCTGCATTATGAAACTTTCTGGAAAGTTGAGCTGGACAGGGGGCCCGACTAAGTATATTGAGGTCATCGTCGTCCAGACCGAAGCTCGAACTTTTTCCCTCTCGATATCATCCACTGCCACTCTGTCATAGGTTGTGTTTTGTGCCCCTTCCACGTTTCCAGGACGTGGTCGCCTTTTCATCCCTCAATTGCCCATAAAAGCTGGCCAAATGTCTGACTCGGCCGACGTCGAAATGGTTGATGCAGTCACCAGACTAGCCGCGGGAAACATCAGTACGCTAGACTCGGCGGAGCGCCAGTTTATCACTGCTGTACAGCAATTCAACCCCAATATGGGAAGCTCCAGTCCATTTCAGTGTCCTCTTCCATCCAACTTGAACGCTGTCCTGTATAACCAAAATCCGGTGTTCACAGGAAGCCAGCAACTGCAATACCCTAATGGGCCGAATGAAACCATTCCAGTCTTTGGTGGCCCATTCGATGTCATGGATATGGCCCGAGGAGAATATGCGACGGTATCATCTTCATCGCAGTCTTCAATCTCCCAGGGGGATCCATCGGCAACGCCTCGGTCAGTCAGTTTCGGCAGCATGGCACCTCCCCAACCTGAGCGCGACGATCATCAACCCAGCGCACCATTTCCAAAAACACATCACCAGCCCGGGGAAAGGCACGCCACTGGTGAAGGAGCCAACGCTGAATGGCCGCAGAAGGAGGAGTTCGTCTTCAAGAAAATGCATTTTGGCAGGCATGCGAGAAAAGGATTGAAGAAAATTCGAACAGAGCTTTCGGCCCTGCTTGGAATCGCTGTGATGAGCGCAAGCAGATTCTCCAAGTTGCAGAAAGAGATAAAGGGGCGCCTATTTCAGAACATGTGAGTTGGATCCCAGCCCTGGCCTTTGAAGATGAGATCCGAATGATCTGACACGCCCACGACACCACAGAGACAGGATGAAGCCGTCAACACCTTGGAGCCCAAATTCAACGAGGTACTTGAGGAACTCGGTTTTGGGACTGCGCAAATTCAAAACGAGCAACAGACCGAGATTACGATGCTCGTCCAACAACATGTGAGAGAAGGGATCGCCGGCGTACTCCAGGATGCCGCTTTTATTGTTGAAGCCGCTAGAGTGTCTCAACCACGCAGCTGAGCATGATGTTCTGGACGGCCGTGGCTCTCTTCTTCATCATGCTTGTGTCCCAGGCTTAACGCGTTTTCGTCCCTGCGTCAGGTTCACGTCGCTGTCTTTGCTTTTATTTTTGTTGTTGTGGCGTCCTATCCCGGTCCTTCTTGTGGCTGTTCTTTGGTTCGTTGTATCGTCTGTCGGTATTATCGTGTTCCTTGTCGTTGTGCAGGTAGGCTTGGGATGAGTGCATGGAGAGAAGCCAGGCAAGGCTATGAGTCGGTACAATTGGATCGTGAGAGTGTGCTTTCGTTGTACATGGGGCTACTATAGATTAATTGTCTCGTATCAGTTAGTTCCCGCCGTGCAGTGATTGTGGGATAGATAAGAGTGGACGTTACACACGTAGTAAAATATCGGATGGCGACGCTCACAAAAAGCAGAAGAGGTCTTCGGAGTCGGAGCGGACAGGGGACAACGTGGGTCAACGCATGGCCGCAGTCAGGTCTCCGGATAAGGAACCCCGGAGCGTTCGGTCAACTGCTCAAGAGTAGATATCGGGAGCGAAAGGGCGCTGTTCGAGAAGGTAGGTTTGTGAGTTTTGACTTCAGTTCACGGTAGGGAGGTAAGGTAGGTAAGTAGGTAAAGTTTGGATGACGTTTGGGAGGAAAGAGGAGAAGCAGGTTAGAAATTACGGGCTCAGCCATGGGGATCTGCGGAGGGGAAGAAGCCATCTTTATCACACTGAGATGCGCAGCGCCCCTGCCAAAACAGACAGCATCCGTCCCCTGCATACGATTGATGTTGCACAGCTGAAATTTCCGCTCCCTGATTGGAGAATGAGCGGGAATGAGCAGATCGGGCCGGATCACCAAATCCACGTTCCATTCCGGTTGTTTGGACTCGTTCAGAGTCATCAATTCAGTCGACTGACCGCCTGCTGTTCTCCACAGGCCACGTCCCCCTTCTCATCTTGCGGATAGTCTATGGTACTACAAATAAAATAAACATTGTGATCTAGGAAAAGGCAATGACAGCGGTAACGACGAGGATGACGATAGCTTCATACGCATTACAGCATGAAAGCGCTGGAACGCTGGAGTACTGGATGGCCTGTGCCATAAGGGGGTTGCGGACTTGATTGCGCCCTGGCCCCAGACGGGCATTGCTGCCGTGTGCATGCACAGTCCCGTCCCGCCACGACCTGGAAATAAATGGCCCGCGGATTTTCTCGCCGCAGAAAAGGCCAAAACTCGACATGGCCACTCCAAGAACTCAACCTCCTCACAAAAAAGAATCGCTGATGCTCTTTGAGTGTGGATAGATAAATGGAGATGCTGTTGAGGAAAAGATATTTCGTCTTCTTGCTTTTTGTTCGTGGTTGAGAAATCGAGATGCAATGTGTAGGTTGTATCGATGAAAAAGTTATGGTGGACTTGTAGCACACTTTGGTGGATTGAAATCCGAGTTGCCCTGGCATCGAGGTTGGAGTTTGTGGCACAATTTCTTGATCCCTTGATAAGGTACCTTAATAAAACGTAGCCCCCTTTAAGAGTAATACCCGGTAAATAACTAGTTGAAGCGTTTCAGCAATGGCCGTATCATCATAAAAAGAGTGATTTATCCGCATATGAAACTGTTGAGTTTAGGCCTTTTAAAGCGTAAAAAAGGAACAGAGTGTTTTTTTGTAACACCCACTGTACAGCCATGTGACAAAAGTCTGTGTGCACACCCCACTTCACCAGTCAGCAAAACAGCACCACAAGGCAGTAGAGGAATATACTTGGACTCCCCATGGGAATTAAAGGGTTTGGCTTTCTTTCAATTCTCGTTGCATTTTATACACTTCGATATTGAGTCTTTCGGAGCGGTCCGAACTAGGGAGGAACCAAGCTAGTTGGATGTTCTAAGCCAATTACCCCGCAAAGGGGATGGTGTATTGCATAGTAGGGTAAAGTATTAGTCAAAGCAGCTGGTTATGCCCTTAAAAGAAGGTGGTTCATTTAATAAAGTCCTTCCAGTTCTGTTGCTGTTTGTCGTTAGAGGGCCCTTTTTTCGTCAGCGCATACGGACTCTTGTACAGTAGAATGACAGGAGTCTGGCTCAAAATGGATCTTGGACATGAAAAATCCATGATCTGGTTGATACGGGGGGTGTCTCCACGATGCAATGGCATGGTTGTAGAAAAAGAAAGAGAGATGTTGTAAGAGCAAGGGTCTGGCTTCCAGCCAGCCGTTCGGACGCAATAGATATGCTATGCAGCGAGCCAGAGCACGGGTATGGTAGGGATTATTCCCTATCACTGGTTCATTTAGACTGTGCTTCAGCGACTCAGAGACATTCACTGTCTGGCAGGGGCAGGTGAAACCTGGGTGAGGTCCGAAATTTCAACCTCACTATATCCACTAGAATGGCAATCCCAACAAGGAGACTAGTACCATTAGATGGGCCGGCCCATCATAGACCAAAATCAATAGTTCACACGAGTGTTTGGTGATGGAAAAGCTGCTTTTTCTCCGAGTGTGTTGATGGTGTTTTGGTGTCAAAATGGGTACAGATGGTTGCGGGCCTGGGTACGGTAGCCACAGACTGCCAGCGCAGTCCAACGACACAAAAGGCATCAAAAAACCTCTAGACATAGACCAGGATCTTCCTTCACCGATGTTGACTCATGAAACAAACTAAATTCCGGGAGCGTTTCGACTGAGCCAAGTGAGGGTAGGATGCTTTTTGGGTAAATTCATGATTGGTTCCCAAGACTGACAGCCTGGAATAGTGATTTTGGAAATTTATCCAAGAGTCTCTGGGTTGGGGGTGGGTGCGGGTAGGATTACTCTCGAACCACTTCGTCTCCTAGGTAGGTACCAAATTGCCAAAAATACCGGCCAGATAAGCCTAAATACTGCGCAACCTCTGCTTCGTCTGACCTAGCGTGGTTTGGCCAGTATATTGCGTTGCTCTCTTTCCCAGCCCGAATGATCCCAGTCCTTCCCATTCACCTCCTGGATAGCCTCAATCTCCTGCCAGTTTCCGTGCTAATCCACGTTTGAATCTGCACATTCAGGGACTCTCATCCCTGGTGCTTCTGTGTTCCGTCTGCTGATCGCTGGACAAATTTTGGGTGAGATTCAGCCCTTAAGACGCCATCAAAGCCGGCCGGACGGATCTCCAAACGGGTCAATGTAAACAGATACCTATCTAGCCACGTAGTGTGGACGGACTACTACAGCCCTACTCCTTGCCTGCCTGCCTGCCACTCGCCTGGCATACCGTAATAAAAGTAAGCAATGGATGGTTCTTAGTCATTTCTTCCCCTATCGTCGTCTTCATGTTACCCGCCCGACCGATCACGGAAAAATGAGTTTAAACCTAGGGATCCCCTTCCTCTGGGCAACGGGGTGGGGATTGTCTTCTTGCCAGTCAATCTCCCCGCCTTACCGCATCTTGGGATCCCAGACATGTAGGTAGGTACACACGCGACGGAACCTAAAGCCTAACTTCCTTTCAATTTGGGTGCGTCTCTTTAAGGGTCTGATTCAGGTCCTACCTGAGATTACGTACCTCTACACTAGGTACCTAGTCTAGCTAAAGATTCTTGCCACCGAGTATCGGTAACTGCAGTGTTGGGCTGTACTTCCACCTTTCTTGCGGGCGAGACAGCAGAGACGGGGAGGTCTCAAAATGATATGGCCGTATGTAGCAGTGGTGGAAGGTTACATATAGCAGCGGCCATATAGCAAGTTCTTGAGCAACACATTTAAAAACCTTGTGCGTCTTAAAAGCATGTACACCAGACACCAATCTGCTGTCCCCCTGGTGCTGGGGTTGAAGAAGTTGTAGGTGAAGTAACAGGTATTATTCCAGTGATGCTCGCCGGTGTTCTTTTCCCTTCTGTCTCGGATCACTGTTTGTTTTCCACTTTTCTTCTTCTTCCACGCAATTCGATTTCGGGGCAACAGCGTTGGGGCCAATAGCGTACCTATCCAGAAAATTCCTTGCCTGTCTCAACATCCAGCGGGTACCAATCGTACTTGAGGCTTGGGTGCTTTTGTTTGAACTCCAAATCAACATTTACAAGCTATTCGTCAACCTCACGCTGGTAAGGAGCATCCTGCCGACAGGAAACGCTGCTTCGGAACAGAGACCAGACGACGATGGAGACATCCGAATTGATACTCAATTAACCGTGCCGCTTACGACCATTCCTGAATAAAAGAAGCTCGAAGTCCGTCCGTCCGTTCTGCGCCTCAGTGATCAAGACTCACACAGAACGTTGGGGTCTTATTCATTCGGCAACGATCCTCCTAACGGCCATCTCCCGCTCCTCGAAGCCTTCGTTTCATTGCTGCTGCTGGTACAAGCATACTTCTTACCACCGAGGGCCCGAAATGTTCGAGTGACTGACAGCATCAGCTCCCAGTAACAGAACTCCTAAGACCACCTCCCCACAATGCCGCCCTCGACGGGAAAATGCAACGACCCAGCGAGATGTGAACTCTCCCCAGAAATCTCTAGCGCATTGGAGCGCATGTCCCTTCCTCATATGTGCCGATTCGCTGACGCCAAGTCTCTTCTTGTCGACAAGGTACGTCCCGTATTTGCATCTTGTTTCCTTAGATATAACTCCCCCGGAGCTATCTTACCGTAGCTAAAACTTGTCCTTTCTCGATATCAGATCGCTGGCACTATTCTAGAAAGAACCTCTTCCGACATTGCGGCGCTCCTCCACGAGGAACTAAAAGGAAAGCGCTCTGGAAAATAAGGGAACGTGGTTGTCAGCTCATGGGCGTGATCGAATACCGTGGCAACAGCTCCGGAAATGCTTGAGGTCCATATCCTGCTTCGGCGTTTGGTGCAGGTGGCGCCAACTTGACCGGTCAGAAGCGCCACAACGGAAGGCATGATGGATAAGGCATAGTCCCAAATACCTTAATTAGCATGTACATAGCATGTCAAGGACTGGTCCCTCAAGCCTTCAGGACACTCACTGTAAGATATCTCGGCTGAACACATGACTTTTGCTCTTG